TTATTTTCAATGGGAATTTTATGTGGTTTATATTTCAAGCCAAGTTTGTACAGAAAACAGTTCTAGTTTTAGGAAGGACACAAAGTGTAACGAGACAATCACCAAGTGCAATTTCATAGTAGTTATGTCTGAACCAAGGTTACAGTGAAGATGCTGGTCAGTCAGGTCACAGGGAGCCCACCCTGTCCCAGTCACTAGAGGTGAAGAGCTGCTTTTTTTCTGCTTCATAAGCATTTCAAATACTGGAGGTGAGGTCCAGGTTTGTGTTAATGAACCTTCTGGCAAAGAACAACCTCATGGATGAGGGTGTGGGGCATCTCCTCTCTTCTCTGCCCTTGTGTTCACCCTCTGCATCCCCTCCTGTGCCAGCATCCAAAGCACAGGAGGCTCTGATAGAGGGATGAGCCAAGGAGATGAGGAAGGGGCCTCTGTGCAGAGACACCTATTCCTGGGTGTCCACAAGGAGTGATGTGGGTGTGAGGGCTACACAGTCCTGGCTGTGAGCAGGCTGGTCTCTCTGGCAGATTGAGGCTGCCTTTTGCCAACCATCCAGCAGTATTTCCAACTGCAGGTGCCTTGTTCTGCCTCTTGTGAGCTGAGTGCAGCTGCTGTGGGCTCTGCTCCTCTGTCCTGCTCTGCTGGAGCCACCCAGTACTCCCAGTTGAGCCTGAGGCATTTCAAACCTGGGAGCATTCGGCTCTTGGTGTCCCATAGAAAAGGACATCCCTGCTCAGCTGCTGGATTTCTCTGTGCACTTTGATCAGCTTGGAAACTTCACCCAGTTACACCAAATGTCAGTGATGTGCTCGAGCAGACAGTGCTACCAACCAGGCCCTGCTGCATGAAAATCAACTGAATTCACAAGTGTGCTTTGGGGAAAAGCTCTATAAACATCTGTCAAGGGTGGGGAAAATACAGTATGTCCCATGGAGCCTCATTTCAGTGCTGCACTGCCCAGAGCTTGGGGAGCTGCCACCATCTTCCCAGAAGCTGGAGGGATACTGCAGTGTTCAGCTGAACTTTGCATCATGATCCTCAGTGGCAGCAGAGCTCTCACTGCAGTGAGCTGTGCAGCCCAGGGTGCTGCTCCTGCTCTGGGCACTGCCTGCCCTGCTCACAGCACCAGCCTGAAAGCTGCTGCTTTGGGGCTGTCTGCTTTTCCTCTTGCTTTACCTGTGCTCCTCACAGCAGAGCACAACCATCCTTGATCAGCCTCATTTGCTCCTTTAGGTTACCTGCTGCATTCCTCAGGCAAATCAAGGTAGGTTTGGGAGAGGTTTCCCCTTTCTGCCTTGCTGGTGCAGCATCAGATCTGCTTTCCCCTGCCCCATCTCTGCCACCTGCCCTTTGAGGCAGTGGCTCTGAACCTCCTGCTCTCCACCCTAGTGCCCTGACTTCTCTCGTGTCTCCTTTGGCCAAAGCTCTGTTCAAAAAACCAACAAACCAACCCTCAGACCCTGCTGTGCTGAGCTGTCAGCACAGGGACTTCTGGAGTGTTCTTTTCTCTGCCTAATGTTGAGGAATAGATAGGAGACTTCCTTCCATTAACACTTAAAGCTTTTATATAGATATATATATATATGTATGAGAAACTCTCCTGGTCTTTTAGGTGTCACATCACTATTTAATCCCCCATGAGAAGATTCCCCAGAGGAAGAATCTACCACTTGTGTGGTCTCCTGGAACATGAAGAGACCCAGAGGTGGTTGGGAGCTGTCACTGCTGGGGTGGTGGGGTCTGGATGTTCCTGAGGTCTGAGGTTTGTGTGGGGAATAGGTCAGGGAAGATTCTTAAGTGAAAACTGAAGAATATTGATGGTCAAAAACTTTTCCCACCAGTTGCACTCAAATGCATGCCTACTCCACAGCTGACTGCAAATGAAAAATCCTGGTTTACTCTTTTTATTAAAGAATGAAGACTATCTTAATTATTTATAGCTCCTATCATTGAATTGACAGATGTAAGCTTAACTGATAAATTATATTTGGTTAAATAAAGATGACATTTATTTATGTGGACTGTGCTGCCTTCACACACCTCTCTGCTTTCTTTTAGGTGTCACATCACTATTTAATCCCCCATGAGAAGATTCCCCAGAGGAAGAATGTACCACTTGTGTGGTCTCCTGGAACATGAAGAGACCCAGAGGTGGTTGGGAGCTGTCACTGCTGGGGTGGTGGGGTCTGGATGTTCCTGAGGTCTGAGGTTTGTGTGGGGAATAGGTCAGGGAAGATTCTTAAGTGAAAACTGAAGAATATTGATGGTCAAAAACTTTTCCCACCAGTTGCACTCAAATGCATGCCTACTCCACAGCTGACTGCAAATGAAAAATCCTGGTTTACTCTTTTTATTAAAGAATGAAGACTATCTTAATTATTTATAGCTCCTATCATTGAATTGACAGATGTAAGCTTAACTGATAAATTATATTTGGTTAAATAAAGATGACATTTATTTATGTGGACTGTGCTGCCTTCACACACCTCTCTGCTTGGTTAAAGTCTCTCTTTTACATTTTGCAGTTTATTTTAGCTCACTCTGCACCTCTCTTGAGACGCAGTGGAGTTAAGAGTTAAGGAAATCAAGTAAAAATGGCTGTGCAGGAAGCAAACTGTGCTTAGTCCAACTGCCAGGTGACCAGCTGGACCCAGCCCTGCCCTTGCCTGGATCCAGGTACCCGTGGGGGGGTCCCAGCAGGAGCTGGGGGGTTTGTTCCCAGCCTCTGTCCTGGCTCTGCAACTGTGGTGGCAGCAGAAGGTCCTCAGATGTGTCACCTGTGTTGGTGGCTGCTCAGGTATGTGGGACAGAAGGTTCTGCAGACTGCTGGGGGCACGTTCAGCCCCTGGGTTTGCAGGAATTGGTGGCTGTTACACAGACACACGTCTGTGTGTTGGGGGTTCATTTCATTTGTCTGCTGGTTGCAAAGGGGCAGGGCCTGGGGGTGCCGAGGGCAAGACTTGAGGGTCCATGTAGCAGGGTCTGGGGGTGCAGAGGGCAGAGCTCGGGGGTGCATGGGAAAGGTTCTTGGGGTACAGAGGGCAGGGTCTGGGGGAACAGGGGTGCAGGCGGAAAAGTCTGGGGGTCCATGGGGCAGGATCCCGGGGGTCCATGGGGCTGGCTCAGGGGTGCCTGGGGCCCAGCACGGGCAGGCCCCGGCCCCGCACCCCCC